AACCTGGTTGATGGATTGTCATATAATCAGTTGTTGCACTATTACCACAAACACACGTGCACATGTAATGGTTCATGGATCTGAAAAACAAACTTGAATTGTCAGTTAATAAATAGTAGGCCAATCAGCAGCACCTGGAATGGGCGGCGTTCACGATGGGTTGCGATGCTCAATCGGACGGTGTTCGTAGGTCCACATTGGCGACACTTCTTGATGGCGACGGTGCGCGGCCCTCCGATCTCCGATCTCCGAGTACTTGGACGTCGGCGACACTTCTCGGCGGCGCACGGCCCTCCGATGCTTGATCGGCATAAGATAACCTTGAGCTCGCGCGGCACGGCGCACTCGTGGGTGAGCGAGGGGCTGTCGTGCGCGTAGGTGAAGGCCTACGGGCACTCGCGCTTGAAGAACTCCGAGTACTTGGACGCGCGGCAGGTCGGCGGAGGCGGATTTGGCTGTGGATGGCGGCGGGGTCTCACGGCGCGTGGCGTGGCGGAGTGCAGCGCTGGCTGATCGCGGAGAAAGAAGAGTCACGCACGATGGGACTTGGCTCGTGGAACTGATGCGAAACTGGTTTAGTATTTCCTTGCAGACGAAGAGGAGAGGCAGGCTGCAGGAATTTCGGGTGATCGTGATCTGATGAGGATGCTGTGTGGAGGGATCATGGCGCTGATTTGCTTTTGCATGTGGGCCGACCTGCATGATTTTTGGGTGATCGGGCATTTGTTTTAGGGCATTTGTTTTATTGCATGACCCGAAGATTGAATGCGGTGCTGTTTTGTTTTGCATGTTCTGAAATTATGGTGATTGAAGATCTGTTTGTTTTGGAAAGGAAAATAAAAGGAAGGGGTGGGAATGTGGGATCGCACAGGCGACGAGAAGATGAGACGAAGTTTTTATCGCATCAAAACGATGTCTCGTATCTTTCCGGCACATGTCTCGGCGGCCGTCTAGAAATGGAGCCCAGAAAGATTCAGCGGCACATCTCCGAGCCGCAGATCCTAGGCCGCGCGGCGCATCCGACGGCCGCGACGCGAAGTCGCGGTGGGCGGCGGGGCACTCACAGCCCGCGGCCCACACACAGCCCGCGCCCCCCACGAGCGGAAACCACGGCTGCCGGGCTGCGTTCCAGGTGTAGGCAGGAGCCCGGTTTCGGTCGCCACGCCGTGGTTTGCTCCTTATGAAGGTGGACGGAGGTGGCGAAACCGCACCAGCCTCCTGCTTTTAGAGCTCCTATATATATACACTGGGTTCTCCCCTCCTGGCTCCTCATAGATTCGATTCGATTTGCATTGGGTTGATTTGATTTGGTTTCATCGGTGGTGTGGTGACGTTCTTAGGAGGAGCTTCTGGATTTGGGATTCCGTTGGGGGATTTGATTGAGGAAAGAGCCGATGGCGACCGCGGGGAAGGTGATCAAGTGCAGAGGTCCGTGC